CTACAGGAAAGAGGGAGAGAGTGTGAGACCATAAACACAGAATAATTATATTAGACAAGTATAGCTCTATTGATGTTCAGTTGGTATTTTGATATTTCATAAAATAGATCTACTATTTTATATTTGGACTCTATTTTGATGCCTTAAAGCCTACCACACCCTCCAGGGCTATAGTAATGAACATTATTTTCACAAATTATTTATAGTGTGCGGAATATTTTTCCATTGAGTTCTGTTTATTTGAGCATTTGATGCAAAGTTTTGTGATTTTTTTGTTGAAATTATTATTTTATTTTAGAAGTGTTTAAAAGTGTTTCTTAAAGTTTGTAAAAATGGTTGACGGAATCGGAAAGAGTGTTAAATATGCGATGTTTGCCGTAAACGGGATTATATTTGTAAGTATAGTTTCTTTTCATCAATCATTTATACTTATTATACAGTAATGGCTTTTCATGATATATTGCAATAACTTTCGTTAACTTAAATCTTTATTGTTTCTTAATATTTATGAAACAAACATTCATCATAATAACTATATTATATAAAATTATTTTATTTGGTAATTTATTGCTAAATTTTATGTATTTTATTTATATTTATAATTAGGACTTTTGAGAAATATTCCCTTGATTAGTCTACATATTTTTCATACATATTAATATTTAATGAATATAATTTTAAGTACAAATCAGTTATTAACATTTTTAATATTTCTAACAAATTTTGCTGAAACTGAAATTAAAGATTAAAACATAAATAAATTACCTATTTTTGAAATGTCAAAAATAGTAATATATAATTATTATATAGAATTAATTAGATTAAACATTTAAATAGAAATCAGTTCAATGATAATCATCACATATAATGCTATATTAAGCATTGATATTAGAAAATCTGCAGTTTAGTGACTTTTATCATAAATTATTTAAATTATTTGATAAATTTTTAAATACTTGATTTTTTATTTATATCAAATTATTTCAATGAATATTAAACGCAAATATGATGTAAATTAATGTGTTTGTAATGATTGACAGATTGGAGGTCTGGTAGTGTTTTCAGTGGGCGTATGGACTTTAGCCGACCGTTCATTTATGGAGCGATTGCTGGGCAGCAGTCTATACGTGAGATTCAATTAATAAATCTATTGTGAAATGATGTGAAACAATATGTGTTTGATGTAAAGGTTGCGTCGGCAGCGCTATTGATTGCCGCCGGAGTGATTGTGGCCATCATTTCATTCTTAGGCTCTTTTGGCGCCTATAAGGAGATCCGTTGTATGCTCTTAACGTTTTTCATCATTTTATTCTTCCTCTTCATCCTTATGCTTGTCGGAGGAATCCTGGGATATGTGTTCAGGAATCAGGTTTAGAATTGTCTAACTTTAATGTAATTTTGCAAAACTAATTTGTTTATAATTAACCATAAGGTTGACGACCGGATGTACAGAGAAATGATAACAACTGTTGCACTCTATAACAACGATTCTGCGGTCACTGAAGTGAGACTTTTATTCAATCAATTATTTATTTTCTAAACTATTAATAACTTATCAAAACTGCTTTACTTTAATTTCTACATAATTTACATACTTTTACTTTTAATAGGCGTGGGATTCCGTACAAAAGAATGTAAGCCTTAAATTGTGTTATTTTTTAATTTTATTAATAATAATAATATTTTGCCCGAAAAATAGTTCAAATGTTGCGGAATGTCAGTAAACGGCGCCAAACCGTATGAAATATATCAGAGACAGAATAGAGGAAGTTTTGGTGGCGGCGCCGGAAGACCTAAAGTGCCCATCA